AGATTTGTTCTTCATGTTCCAGGTTAAAACATTCAGTATCAAGACAGGCTTATAAATAAATAAAACTTATTAGGTTAAGGTTAACAAATATACTTCACATACTCCTTAGACATAGCAGTAATATCTCTGATCATTTTTCTTAGTCACGCTTAAATACAGACATTAAATAAATAGTACATTAATTTAACACATGAATTATAAAGCAACTTTAAAAAAAAAAGTTTTAGAGTCAAAGGTATTCATTCATAGAATGGTAATGCACTTTTTATAAAAAAGACAGTTCATGTAGTTTGCTCCATTTGCTCAGTTCATTCAGAGTGCAGTGTCCCAAAGAGCTTGTCCCAGTGAGTGAAGTATGGAGCATAGTTGGACTTGAACTTCTGATGGTGGACATCATGATGGGGAGCTCCTCCATACAGACCAAAAGGCACCAGTCTGTGTGTCGCCCATGGCAGGTCATAGCCACAGTGGTCCTCAACTGACAGCCACATGTTCAGCATATGGAAAAGCATCTCTGTCATTGGATGAACCCCCAGTAACATAGGATTCACAGCAGCGAAGAAACCCAATGACAGAGTCTCCCAAGCCCCTGAGTACTCAGTGGCCAGAGCGAAGGTGGACGTGTATTTGTGATGCACCTTATGGAAAGTGCGGTAGAGCCAAGGTACTTTGTGATGCAGAAGATGCCATACAAAGTACTGGAAGTCAAAGAGAAGCAGGCAGGCAGCAAGGTCCCAGATGACTCGCAGGAGCCCAGGTGCCATCGATGTGTAGCTGACAGGTCTCCAGTACCAGTGCAGGACACTCAGTGGGAAGATGAACACGGCATGGTTGTAGAGCGAGAGTGCGAGGCAGCTCCACATCATCGTCCAAGACACGCTGGTTTTCTGTTGAATCTTGTATCTCCTTATCAGTGCTACCCTAGGAGATAGGGCATCCAGAACGACAAAAGGCAGGCAGAAGCTTAGGTAGACTGTAATTGAAAAGAGAACTGGGAAATATGGAGACCTTAGCACGGCCTCGTACTGCAGAACGCTGTCCCAGATGTACTGTAGTCCAAACATTGTAATTTCTTTTCAGTTCTGTTTCTGAATGGCAGCACATGTTCATTGTGCCGCTTATAAAGCAACTTTACCCCGCCCCTTTCCACTTACATGCGCTTAAACTCCCCCTAAAATGGTTCTTCCTGTTGGAATTTCCAGAATATTTTGCGACAGTGTTCTCAGAGAGTAGCCTATCTTTTGTCATTTTAATCAGATGGGTAACTATATAAATCCATAAATATAAAAATCCTGCAATAGGCTCTTTAGAGAAAGAAAATTGTTTATTAGCCTACAAAAATTCTATAATATAAATGATAATGGAAAGACAGTGTGTTGAATCACAGTACAAAGATAAAAGCGTGAGGTAAGAGTGAGGTAAGATTCCGAACCTGTAAACGAACTTACCATTAGGAGATGGCACTGTTTTTTCTGTTTAGATAGCAGCTCAAGCAGTTCATCTCGCCCAGTCCCACTTGATATTGATATTCCACATTTCGATTTTTTAAACCTGACAAAATATATATTAATCCGACAAAATATGACAGTTAATATTCAATTTCCGTGTGTCACTTTTAACTTCTGTAAGAGTATCTACAGGAACAGCAATGAGACTGACAGTGGAACAGTTATTCCAGTTTTATCAAGTAAACACCGCCGTCTGCTGTTTTTAAGAGGCAAGTGCTGCTGCGACACTCGAGATATCAAGATTCTTTATTTGTTTTACACGCTCTATTATATACAAATATATACTTGGAATATACATTTTCTTTCCAACTAATTCATTTTCTAAATACCCCACATCATTAGGCACATATCAAACTTGACAGCACCCTCTCTGACTATAATACGCCTCAAAAATTAGAATGAAAAGTATGATAATACTAACCATTTTCTGCATCACTATTAAAGAGACCTGAATACTAAATTATTATGGGCATAAAATGGTTAGTGAGACAGGGTTGAGTTCACAATGAGGGACAACTTTAAAGTCTGTTTTTATAAAATGTCTTGCTTTTTTTTTTTTTTTGAAAAATATTTGTCACAAGAAAGGAACACAAATAAATGCTTACATTATTGCAAAAAATCATATAAACGATGCACATTTAGTTAATAAATGCCTAACCAGTGAAGTGCCTCAGGGACATGACAAAATGCTTGGTTTAAGACATTATTACATGTTAAAAATGATTAAAATTCAATAATTATTTTTATTATATATATATATATATACACACACACACACACACACACACACACACACACACTTTTATTATATCTATAATATATAAAATATAAAACTATATATATATATATATATATATATATATATATATA